TATTAACGTTTTCTCTCAGAATGAAATGTGGGATTCTGCGATTTCATGTAGATTCCCTGTCAAAATACCATGTAAATGATAATCTATTTCAGGGACACCTGCTCTGTATAGCATAAGTGATGTTTGCGTTTGAGTAACCCGTGTGTAAAGTTCAGCTTGAGGCCACGCCAGTGCTGTTACTGAGGTCGCTGTATAGCTCAGTGAGGGGCGAGAGGGGGAGGGGGGGGATGCTCCTCAGAGGTACCTTTCAGTGGCTGACATGAGCTCTGCTTCCTGGGGCAGTGTTATCAAAGGGCAGGGTCTCCACGGGACTGTACCGGATGCTGGTGAAGCGTGGAGGCTTTGTGTGGATGGAGACCAGCGCCACCGTGGTGTATGACAGCCACACTGGGCACCCTCAAGGCGTCATCTGCGTCAACTACATCCTAAGGTCAGAGTCATGTTCATTTCAGCGAGTCTTAGCTCGGGTCCTTAGGTGTGCGTGTCCTGCTAAGTCAGCCGGAGCTTGAGCAACACTGAATATCATGCCTAAATGGCTAACACACACACACCGTAGGTGTGCCTGTACGTGTAGACGGTGAGTGTGCCCCGTGATGGATTGACGCGCCATTCTGGGTTGTTCCCTGCCTTGTGTCCTTTGCTTCTGGGATAAGCTCCGGACCACCTGACCGTGTTTAGAATGAGTAGTATAGAAGATGAATGAATGAACTCTTAAGTACAAGAGAGATCTTCTCTGTTGTGGCCTGAATTAGGCTTCCTGTTTCTTTCCTAACCTCAGTGATGTGGAACAGCCAGATGTGGTGTTATCTCTGAAGCAGAAGGAGTTTAGGATGCCCGGTTCCACATCTCCCATCACTGCCCCAAGCCTTGTTCACCTGGCTGCTGGTTCTGGCAGCTGTTCTGGGTTCACGGTGAAGAAGACCATACCCCCTCCCCTCCATGTGAGGAATTCTGTCGGTTTTCTGCTCATTGTTCAGCTTCGAAGGTCTCTGAGGATTCTGAAGGTGTCCTCCTCGCTGCCCTTCTAGGAGGTGAGGGAAAGGGTGGAGGTGCGGCAGGGTTATCCCTTCACAGAAACGCTGTTGGAGTGGGACGCCACCGAAACCACGCAGAAGGCCACCCAGGTACGCATATGAACCTAAGCAGCAGACCTTCAGCATTCAACCTATGAATCTGGAATCAAGGTGATGACGCCTCATGTCCTCCATCAGGATCTATTTGAGGAGGACCTGGACACTCTGGCCCCATACATTCCCATGGACGGAGAAGACTTCCCTCTCTCTCCCATCTCAGACATGGTGGAGGACCTGACTGAGACCAGGCCCCAGGAGTCCCTTTTCATCTTCCCGTACCAGGAGACAGAGAGTTGGGGCTGGCCTGGCAGCCCCTCCCCAAGCCCTGCCCCCCCCCTCCACAGGCCCCTGACACCGTATGCACCTCCGCAGAGACGGCCAGCCGTTATTTCTCATTACAGTTCCCTACAGACTCACATGCTCAAAGGTTCCCCCTATTGGTAAGAAGCCTGAACAACATATACAATGTCACACTTTGTAATTAAACGTTTTTTGCCGCCCGGAATTCACAGGCTGCAAAATTTTCATTTGTATATTTTTTTTTTTAACAGAAAATAATCTACTCATATAGACAAAGCATATACAAAATATCAGATGACTAACAATGCAGGTGGGATGTTATCTTTAAGTGAAGACTGTGTGTTTCAGGGATGGTGTGAGATCAGCATACGGTAATGACGTTGTATCCACAGCCAACCATGAGAAACAGGAAGTTTATACTCGCAAAAGACATTGGACTGAGGGACATTTCCTGTCCAGCAGAGATCAGCAGGTATGCAAAGGAGGCCCCCTTTACGTGACTCAATGACACAAAGACACAGTTGATTGTATCGATCTATATTCATACAGACTCAGTATAATTACCTAGACAGAGACGTGAAGTTATAAAAAGACTTTGCTATGTGAATCTGTACTATCCACAGTCTTGCCGTAGCTCTTGCACTGGTGGGCAACCGGCTGCATGTCAGTGGAAGAAAGTCAGACCAAATCACAGTAACTACATGCCAGTCGAGAAGTGTGACCCCTTGTGGTGGAGTCCAGGTATGGCTGCATTAATGTTCACCATTGTTAATGCTTTTGTTAATTAATTCTACAATGAGCAGCCTATGTGTAAAATGTATGCAGAACATTTGACTGCTAAGATTTGACACTATGCATCTTGCCCTCTTCCGCGCTCCCAGGTGCAGTGATCAATGGCTGTTATCAAATTCCGTTGGGGTTTGTGCCCTGGGCTCCCCAATACAGAAACGCCCCCAGCACCCCCCCAGCCCAGGCTGTCTCACGCACCAGCAGTGAACCCCGAGCCACAGACCAGCTCCGAGCAGGTGGGCGCTCTCCTCTGCCTTCGTTTGTCTGTCACCGTGGCGTCTGCATCCCTGCTTGATTTCTCCTGTCCCTGTGCAGAGTCAGCGGCAGCAGTTCTGCCTGTGCTGAGCCGTCTGGAGTGTGAAGTGAACGCCCCCCTGGGCCCAACGTCCTGCCTGCTGCACGGCGCCGAAATCCTCTCTGTCCTCGATCAGGCTGCCTTCAGACTCTGCCCCTAGGGTGGCTGATAAACACCACAACTGCTAGCCCGAAAGCTGCAAACACAGCCCGAAAGCCTGTGCAAACACAGCCCGAAATCGCAAACACAGCCGAAAGCCTGTGCAAACACAGCCCGAAATCGCAAACACAGCCGAAAGCCTGTGCAAACACAGCCCGAAAGCCTGTGTAAACACAGCCCGAAATCGCAAACACAGCCGANAGCCTGTGCAAACACAGCCCGAAAGCCTGTGTAAACACAGCCCGAAATCGCAAACACAGCCGAAAGCCTGTGCAAACACAGCCCGAAAGCCTGTGCAAACACAGCCCGAAAGCCGCAAACACAGCCCGTTGAGCTTGCTGTTCAGCCTTGAGATCTTAGCCTCACGTGCAGAATAGAACTTCTGCTTTACCAAGAACCTGAGTTTCATTCAGATCTTGTACCGGCTAAAACTCCCAAAGATCCCCAAAAAGCAAAAGCAGGGACAAACCAGTAAAGACGGCAGGCGTTTCCCAGCTGTGTATTATCTTCCGTATCGACAGTCCCCCCTCGTCACTAATTCCATGGAGACTTTTCTTAAACCCGTGATGTCACTTATCAAGCACAGCTAAACTGCAAACACATGCATTTAAACATCATACAGCTATTAGATATATCTTGATGCGTCTGAAAAGGCTGGAACGCTGTCATGTAGATGTAGATAATGTTGGCTTAGTTCATGCATGGTTCGTTTTCTTACCGCCATAAGATCCTTCCTGATGGTCCATCTACACGTGCATGTAGGGCGTCTGAGGAGGTTCACCGCCAAAAACAAACTATTCATTTCACGTTAGATATCACTAGATCCATCTTTCCTATACAGAAAGTATATTCTTCAGCTACTGCAAGCTGCCCGGGTTATAAAATTTGACAATTCAGTATATGAAATTACTGATGCAAGTTTGAATGTCATTTAAATATCTTATAATATAAGATAAATGTTAAAATTATTTTTAATGAAAGTAAATGCAATATTTGTAGATAAACTGTATCTTAATATATATTTTCCAAATGTTTTATTTTCTGTTTTCCATTGTATGAGAAAATTCTTTATTAAACTCTGTATATATACATTTCATTGTGATTTCCCCATTTTTGTCCTATGGGAACTGTATGGATGGAGGGCTCCCCCTGCAGGATGTCCAGGGACACGCAGGGGTGGTAAACACAAGCGGACACTTTCTCCTATTTTGCTCCTTAGACACCGAGAATCGCCACATGGATTACACAACTCGAACGGCTTAAATTAGCCTATTAATGACGTTGAGCTCAAATGAACCGGCCCCGGCGTGTCAGTAATTATTATCATTACTGGTCAGGTGTAGACAGAGGGGGTTAGGGATCGACGTCAGCTTCACGAATAAACGGTAGTTCCACTTTTAAACGCCAACTTGGAGGATTGCACGTTAAAAAACACTTTATTATCTCAACAGCCTGAAGGTTGTAAGAGATTAATAATTGTACGTGTGTGTGTTTGTATGTGTGTTGGGGGGGGGTGGGGGGGAAGTAGGCTACGTATTACATTGTGGGGACATTTGCTCCCCATAATGTAGCAAAAACCTGTTAACACTGTAGAGACCATTTTTTCGGTCCCCACAAGGGGAAACTCAATTATATATATATATTATATGCCGGTCCCCATCGTTGTCTACACCCTCCCAGTACAGTAGGTGGAGCCATTGCCTTGTGTCATTACTGAAACTCACTCATTCACCCTGAGCGCATGGCTGCAGTCCCTCCGGCCTTAACAAGGCGATCAGGGACGGGCACTGGCTCTAAACACACAATCGGATTATATATATCGACTGAAGTAGTTTTTAAACCGAACAGCTGTGAACGTTTTATCCACAGTAATTCGGTTAGTAAAACTGAGGCGTCATATAGATTATTAGCGCGTATCTGTCTACATTAACAGCATTTGAACTATTGTAATTATGTCAGATTTTATGCCAATTTCATCTATTCACTGTGTGTCACGAGCTAGCTAGTTTTTGATTATTAAATGTTTTCGGTGTATGTCATTTTAATGCTTCCTTGGTCTACAACACACAACTGAAATTTCGGCCACTTTGTTAATGTGAAATGCAGCCCATATTCCCGACATGCCGACCTGTCACAGTATGCTTCCAAAACAGGGGATTCACACCTCCAGGGCTGCAGGTTTGAATCCCGTTCGTGTGTGTGTGTATATACGTGTGTTTTCCTGCCTTGTTCCCCGTGATGATCGGGACGGGCTATGGGGTCCAGTGACCCAGGACTGGATACATGTTTAGAAGACGGATGATGGATATTTCAAAATATATTTTATTAGCAACAGAATATCTTAAAGCAGTAAATATATTTTTATACCTCACCTGAAAAAAAAAACTTCATGGAAGATGTTATATCATTTTTGCTTTGGTTTTTTTCTTAGTACACCCCCCAGGAGTGTATCTGAATGATGCTGCAGAGTCACATTTGGACGAAAAATCACCACTTCAGAGGACAGCATCACCTGAGGCTTTTCCTGGACGCGGATGATCAAGCAGAGACCCACAGTCAAACACTGAGTGACATCACAAGGTCATGTGACCACAGAGCTAACGTGATACACCCTGATTCGTGGATATAATCAGAGGTGGAAAGGTCAGGTTCAGAAAGTAAAATCCAGACCAAGGGTTAGGGTTAGGGTTAGGGTTAGGGTTATTGTTTCAACCAACAGGTTGAGTTCTCTGTAATATAATCGCACATATGTTTAAAAATGCTAATTCTGCTTTGGATGGATAGTTGGATAGTCTGGTTTTGTCAGAAGGGCAACACTGACCTCTCCTGGTTTCGGGTAAAATAACTGTGGCCAGAGGTGAATATGCTCATGATTTGGGCAAATGATTTGGCATTCAGAAGACATGCCAACCTTGCTGGCCTGAGATGTTCTCTGTCACAGAAACAAATCGTGTTCGCTCATGTGTCTGTGTGCATGCATACATGTGCACGCACTTCTTGGAGATCCGGCCGGTGCGTTTCCGTCGTATTGTCCATCAGAGCGGCACAGCTTGTGCTGGGTATGAGGTCTTTGCTCATTGCAGAAGCAGCAGGACTAGTGACTGGAGATTCGGGCACTTTAGACAGATACGGGCCCTGCAGGTGGGAGCGAGTCAGGGTTTGTCTGACCCCCCCCCGACCCCCCAGGGTCGCGACATGGCCCTAGCTAGTGGGTCATGCCGGCAGGCAGGGTGTCGGACGACCTGCGACGTCTCCCCTCTCCGGCACGTCATTCCGTAACTCTGTCGCCTCTCAGGCCTCAAATTCGCTGTCGCTGCTGACGGAGATGTCAGGGGTGGCGGTGCGAACCCTGCGGGCCTCCGTGCCCGCGCTGCAGTCACTGCCCTTTGGGGTACCCGGGTATCGGGGCAAAGATGGCTGCGGGGCGGGATGGTATTCTGGGGGCGAGCAGCCTAGGGAATTCCCTCTGGAGATGAGGTCTGCGTCACGCTGCAGCCTGGACAGCAGAGAAAAGGTGATTCTGTCAGTGGTTTCAATGCCTCCTTGAGGACTTCATTGGACAGGAAAGTCCCTCCCTGCAAGGTGGCTGATATTACTCTGTAGTATAGAGCAGTACAGGCCAACCTGACCCCCCAGAACCCCAGATGGATGACATTTTTGCTCCCTCCCAGCTCCCAAAAGAGCAAAACCATGGACTGTCTGTAATTCAAGTTACTTAACTAAATACGTCAATTAATTTAGCTGGTGGTGAAACTTAAGAAACACAGGGATGCCCCTGAGGAGAAGCTTGGGGGTTTTGAAGATCAGGAGAAATTCTTTCATTGTTGTTATTTATTTACAAGTATCACAACATTAAAGTGGGTACATTAAAGTGGGTTTTATTCTGAGCTGACACACACTTGCTTCCCACCCGCCTGCACGGTCGTGTGCCCCCAGAGTGCCCTCCCGCACGGCCGTGTGCCCCCAGAGTACCCGCCCGCACGGCTGTGTGCCCCCAGAGTACCCTCCCGCACGGTCGTGTGCCCCCAGAGTACCCGCCCGCACAGCCGTGTGCCCCCAGAGTACCCTCCCGCACGGCCGTGTGCCCCCAGAGTACCCTCCCGCACGGCCGTGTGCCCCCAGAGTACCCGCCCGCACGGCCGTGTGCCCCCAGAGTACCCTCCCGCACGGCAGTGTGCCCCCAGAGTACCCTCCCGCATGGTTGTGTGCCCCCAGAGTACCCTCCCGCACGGCAGTGTGCCCCCAGAGTACCCTCCCGCATGGTCGTGTGCCCCCAGAGTACCCTCATGCACCTGTTCTTGGCAGAAGCTGCACGATCCCGCTGACGCCGGTTCTTGAACCAGTTGCCCACCTGGGTTGGCGTGAGGCCAGTTGCCTGGGCCAGGTGCCGCTTGCGAGAGGGGTTGGGGTATGGGTCCTGCAGGTACCACTCGCGGAGCAGGTTGCGAGTCCGCTCCTGCCTCACACACACACAGACACACACACACACACACACAGACACATGCTCACCGTCAATATGCTGAACAAACAACAGAGGCACCACAGTGCATCGGAACAGTTTGTCAGCACAGTTTTTTTTTACTTGGCGTCCATCCTGTGGTTATCTAGGTTTACGTTATTCCTGCTACACATCGAAGTGGGAAGATCTTTAACTCTCTTTCATCCATGGCTTCAGCTCCTAGACTGTCATTTTATATTACCACATTAACCTTATATTGTATAATCATCATCATCATTGTTACATTGTCCGAAAAAGAGCATCAGCATGTTTTTGTGTCATTTCGGGTCACTGTGACAGATGAGCAGGCAAAGGTTCAAATGAAGAATGACATAGAGAATCCTGAGCGGGTCTCATCACTCAGTAGTTTATGAATGACTTTACAAAGTACCTTAGTTATAAAGGGTTTTAAGAAACACTCATTAACAAATGGTCTTAAGTACAAGTTATTACATAATGCGGCGTTATTACATAATACTCATTCTGCTCGTCAGTTTCATGCTGATAAACTGCTGCACCTAAACGGCGTTAGCAAGCAGCTTGTGACTGGGCAGGATAAAATGACCGTAGGACACATAGGGGGGGGGGGGAGGAGCAGCATTTGGGGACAGTAGTGGAGACGGGATTTTAAAAAGCAGAAGAGAGGAAAAAGGCGGACAAGGGAAAATAGAGTGTGGCTCACAGAGTGCTTGTGAGCACTCATCCCGTCAAGGGTGAGACGTCCTCTCAGGGGGGGTGAGGCACTAGGCAGGGGCACCCAGTGAACACGGTGATTTTTCTCGTTCCACTTTTGATGCAATACGTTCTTCCAGAGAAACGGCACGCAGTCTTCCTTGCTGTCTTAAGGTCTGATCTCAGGTCACAAGGCGTGTTGTTTTAAGCTACGTGAAACGTGAGCTTCCTTCTCATTAAGCTGTAATCATCATCTGGTGTAATTCAAAGCTTAGCTGGTCTTGTTTTGTATTCATCAGTAAATTCAGTGCCTTTCAATTCTTCAGTTCAATTTCTTTATGGGACATCTAAATTTGTTTGTTTGCGCTTATAGAAACTTTTAGAGTCTGGAACGTTGTACAGATATTGAGTAAATATTTGACTGGGGCCTTCAGATTGTAATCAACATCACACTTTTCTTCTTCCTGGGGCTGCAGATATTCTAGAAAGTACCAAAGGAATTCCTTAATGGCTTCCGCAGAGAGACTTGGGGGGTGAGAGAGATGGGACAGGGCCCCGGTGCTGGGGACCGGGTTAGAAACGCCACAGGTGGTCGACGACAAAAGAGGCTTAACTTGACTGTAATAGCATAGAGATGCAGGTTTTTTTCACGCTAAGTGCTGTTTATCTCTGGTGTCGCTTGTAGACAGAACACGCTTTGGTCGGCGTCACTGTAACCATGGTAACAGGCTGCCCAATCAACAATCACATTTCGTAACAGAGCTCTGAATTATACTGTGTACTTAAACAGGGGTTTTCCTGTATTTTGGGGCACTGCTATACTGAGTACCGGCTGGCGCAGGTCACAACACAACGCAACCTGTCACAGCTGTGAAAGCAAGTGTTAGGTTTTATTTGCAAATTTGGAAACAGTACAAAATCTGCTTGTCATGACCTTTATATTTTTCTGTCAATGATTTTAAACGTTACTGTTAGGACATTTAACGGACAGACCACACTCTTAATAATGCTTTGCATCAGTTAATCCCTGGATTCACAGGCAAGTGAATTCAAGAGATTTGTAAAAACATATATTATTTTTAACACTTTTCCAGTAAAAGTGAGATTAGCAAGTTATTTGGGATCTGTTAGCCTAAGTTAGATCATTCCCGCAAATTATAGGCCTACATTAAAAGAGGAATCGACTAAAACAATCAATTTGGCTTAATTTGCCATTTAACGTGATATGGTTACTAGTACTGATTTATTAATGTTAAACTGTGAAATAGACAAACCAATTATAAGTACCTTTTGCAGGAAATTATTAATGGCACTTTAAATATCTAGTGTTTTATGCTATTAACACTAATAATAAAATTGCGGTGGCCTATTTTATAGTTTGTCAGTTTCAATATTTCAGTTTAAATATTTTTACGTGAAAGTGTATAAATGTAAATGACGTGATTTTATAATGTGCGTTTGCATTTTCACATAATTGAAATCTAATGAATTTACCTTAAAGCAGTGCGTCTTCTGCTCGCCGTCCCAAATGGTGCGAGGAAGCGGGAACTTCTTCCGTATGCGGTACTTCTCCACGGCTCCGAGTGGCCGCCCCCTCAGGCGCTCCGCCTCCCGGTAGTGAGCGCCCAGCCACAGCGCCTGCAGCCTGGCGTGGGACTCCCGGGTGAAGCGGTGGCTCTGCAGGATGCGGTAAAGTGCCTCGAAGTCGCCGCCGTGGAAGGCGACGAGTGCGCGGGCGCGCATCACCGACTCGTGGCAGCTGAGCGCGTCCCCGGGCGCGCCCGGGAGCGCGGCCGGCAGGGACCACAGGAAGCGGCCCAGGCGCTCGATCTCGCCGCTCTCCTCCAGGGTCTCGCACACGCGGGCCACTTGCGCCGGTGAGAAGATAGGTAACGGGAACATGACCGATTTAAATGCTGCCCTCACTACCTACTGGTTGATGACATTAATTATCAAAGCATAATCGTTATTTTCAATTGATTCCGGTTCCTGTGCTTAATTATATGTAACAATGTTACTCTATCTAAGTAGACCTACGTCAAAAAAAGATAGAAATAGAAGTTTTAGTCAAGAAAAATCAAACTAAAATGTGAAATAAAAGTTAAAGTCAATACAAAATAATTATAAATTTCTTTTAAAATACTGTTTTAGACCAAGAAAGGTTGAGAGATGGAAAAGCGAGTTAAGCTGCAGACTGTAAAGAGGAAGCAGCGCGAGGGAATCCGTATTTATAGCAAGGTGCAATCAGCATCTTCGAAGTACTTTGGGGAGGATTAAGTGGGGTGGGGGGGGGGGGCAGCGGCCGGAGAGGTGGACACTAGCAGCTTAACTAAGAAAAAAGCGAGTTTCTCGGAATGATATACTGAGTCTGATTGTCTTTCTGTCCCAGTACATAACATGTCAGTAAAGTCACGCTTATGTGACTTTGGCTGGAAAGCTGTTGGGCTTATTCGCTGTTCGGTTTTGTACGTGCTTAGTCAGAAATAAACCTCGGTATCACGGGACAGATGAGGTTTCATCATGTGGGACAGATTAGCGTTTGAGGCGGTTAACACCCGCGCACTGCAACCTCCTTTACGGTAAGATCAGGCCACCTACAGCTGCACTGTAATTAGCGAGTAACGGGTGGTGAATTTGTATGATTTAATTTGGATCATTCTGCAGGGATCCTGAAAGTCAAACATGTATATTCTCAAATTTCAGGTGCATTTTCATATATATTATTCATCCACTCGTTTGTTTAGTCATTCATTACCCAGTTTGAGAAACAACATTAAGAATGAACGCTATCAGTGTGTGTGGATGTTGATATATAATATATAGAGATTTACATACATACTACATTTTTTGTCCAATTCTGATTGTGTTTACCTGGGTTATCTTGAAATAATTAGTGATCTTAATGATCTTAGTCACAGACTGTCTGACCTGGACATCCTGGTTAGACTTAGTGGACACAACACCCCGCGATAAGGAGATTAGGGGGGAGGCCGGGGGGGGGGGCCCGCAGGCTTGGCTTCAGAGCTCACGAAAAAATGAGGGAAAGAGCAGATTACGTGCTGGTCACAGATCACACCCGATCACACATGCTGGAGACACATCAGGCCCGGAGCTGTACGTCTGATGGAATGTTCTGGAAGGAAACCGTCACCTGCAAGGGCCGTCCTACATCTCCATCTGTGTTTAAAGACGTAAATGCTGAAAACTGCAGCCTGAAGATAGTCATTAAAAAGAGAAACATTAGTGTAGCGAAGATCGTTAAAATCCATGTAAAGCAGTTGACACAGTATTTAATATTTAACTTAAGTGTAGGTTTGCACTGGCCAGTGTTTGAATTACATTCATGCTCTTAAAGGTTTTTATTCCCTGAATGCCAGCTTCACTCTCTCAGCTCACGCAAAAATAAAAAAATTTCTGGTCATAATTAAGCAGAAATGGTCACAATCATGGGCAGCATGATGGCATAGTGGTTCGTGCTGCTGCTTCACAGCAAGAACGTTCTGGGTTCGGTCCCTGGGCCGGGCGTAGAACCTTTTTCTGTGGAATTTGCAAACTCTCCCCATGTTCGTGTTGGTTTCTGCTGGGGGCTCTGGTTCCTCCCTCAGTCCAAAAGTCTGTGTGATAGGTTAATTGGTGACTCTAAGTTGGCCCTGTGGTGTGTTGGTTCCTGCCTGTTCCCAGGATAGGCTCTGGTCCCTCCTGTGACCCCAGTTGGGATTAAGTGGTTACGGTGATGTATGATCACAATCATGGTAGCTGTGTACTGCTGAGGTGGTGTGATGGTGCAGTGGTTAGCACTACCCAATTGTGTGTGGGTGACTGAACGGTGTGTGAGTGTGCCCTGCCATGGGCTGGTACCCCACCCTGGGTTTTTGCCCCTCTGATTGAAGGGTGTGTGAGTGTGCAAACCACCTGACCTGGGGGGGTGTTCCACAAAGTAGGATTTCTTGGTTAGCTGGGTTCACTTAAGCTGGGATTTTTCAGTAGGAATGCTCCATACTTAATTTAAGCTCTTATTGTACTCTTATTGGGGCCATGTTTCAGGTGCAAATTGAAGTTTGTTTAAATCCTGCAGGAGCTGCATGAAGGGGCACTCAGCAATTGTCCTGGGAGCTCTGGTTCCAGTACAGCAGAAGGAGAGGAATGCGGTTTGTAGAGCTCACTGTGATCCCCTCCTTAATCCAGGCTGCTCCCAGACACCACCAGCTTGTCACTTGTCACCCCCACTGTCACAGCTACGCGCACACACACACGCAGATGCATACACACATACGCACGCACGTGTAGGGTAAACATATCCTTATGGGAACCGCTCATTCATTTCAATGGGAAAAATGCTAACGCTAACTATGACAACCTTAACCCCCACCCTGCCCTAACCATAACCATAAGTAACCTAACAAAATACAAGAGTTTTTGCATTTTTAGTTTTTTCATAGCAGTCACCGATTTTTATAAAATAGAGTTTTCCCTTTTGGGGACCAGGAAACCGGCAGCGCACCTCACCATCCTGTCAGTAATCAGCTAGCAGGAGTCTTCAGGAGGCAGTGCGTGCTTTGGTCAATTAGGATGCTGTTTTAGTAAACAGAGGGTTGCTAGTTCAAATCCTAGGGTCAGGTCAGGTTTCTCTGTCGGGGCCTCGAGCCAGACCCCTAACTCCAGTCAGTCCATGTCCTGTCAGATTCTGCTCCCTCAAAAATATGTATGTCACTTTGGATAAAACAGTCTGTTAAATAAACACAATGTTAATAGGCAGAGTGATGGACTATAAGGATGTAGGTATTTAGAGTGTGAAAATATTTTAAATATCATTTCATGAGTTTTTAATGCATTAGTGTGAACGTCGCCTCAGTGAGCCTGCAGGTCAAACTGTGCAAATTTGTGTGGGACTTTGCATAATGAGGTTCCTTTAAATACAGACCCCCTGCTAGATGGAGTTTTGGGAGGGGGGTGTTATTTGTATATAAGTCTATGCAGTAAAATTAACAAGCAAGGGGGAGGGGAACCAGTTAGTCTTATCTGATAAGAATCCTTCAGCCAGTGCTGGAGAAAGAGACCCAAAACTCCCAGCATGCTCCGGGTCAGGCAGACGCTAATCCCCACGCTAACGACGGGGCTAATTTCAGGCTCATTAGCAGCTCAAAGGTCGCCGGCACTCAGCCCCCCCATCAGTCGGCAGGATGCTGCTGATTGTCTCATTTTTCTAAAGCACCTTATGGTGCATTTCCCGCTGGTTTGTCCTGAAAAAGGCGAAAACGCCAGCCTCTCTTTCTGTGAAACAATGTGGCTATGTAAACCTGCCGCAAAGACACCCGCTCACTGGAAAACAAATACTGATTGTGAAGCGGGGTAGGGCTCTCAATGGATGGGAATTTGTACCTAAAAAAAACAGAACGTCACTTCCTGACTGTGGAACATCGAACCCAAATGGAGAGCCGACATGTATTCAGGTGTGCGAAACTCCCCTGGTGTGAACGTCATATGACAGATCCATCCATCCGTCATCCATCCATCCGTCATCCATCCATCCATGGATCAGGATTGCCTGAATACAATTCAGCCCATCAGATGTAAGATATACGTCTGGATTAGCCCCAGTATATCTGTAACACAGCATTACAATGGGATGCTAATCGGATGGTTTCTGCTGTTCGTATTTCCAGTTAAAAAAGCTGGTAGATGCTGTAGAAATGGAGGCGCAATAGCTGGGCTGTGAGCAGAGGCTTCAGTGAGACGGCCTGACCATCCTCACCCGGCCCTGCCCTGTGCTCGCGTCCCTCACCCGGCCCTGCCCTGTGCTCGAGTCCCTCACCCGGCCCTGCCCTGTGCTCGCGTCCCTCACCCNGTCCCTCACCCGGCCCTGCCCTGTGCTCGAGTCCCTCACCCGGCCCTGCCCTGTGCTCGCGTCCCTCACCCAGCGCACACACACACCCTGCCCTGTGCTCGAGTCCCTCACCCGGCCCTGCCCTGTTCTCGCGTCCCTCACCCGGCCCTGCCCTGTGCTCGAGTCCTTCACCCGGCCCTGCCCTGTGCTCGAGTCCCTCACCCAGCTCTTACATGAACCTGGAGAATTATTATCATTATTGTTATTATTATTATTTAACAATAAATGATTAGACACAGACTAGGCCAATAAGAGATCTCTTTGTGTCCTTATACTGCCACCGTGTGGCAACGACTGAAAATACAAACGATGTGCTTATTTTGCTTTAAATAAATCATATCTTGGAGAACCGTAGCTTCCGGGATAGGCTCCGGACCCCCCGCGACCCAGAAGGATAAGCGGGTTGGAAAATGGATGGATGGATATCTTGGTGAACCAGATATTACATGTTACTTGCATCTGTCATAGTAATTTTGACTGTACATAGAAAAAGACACAAATTTAAAAAACATGCAAACATGTAATTTAAAGAATCTTTAATCCAATTTCACTCTCATCCGTTATGACATGTGTTCATAGATATTTATTATTTCGAATCACAACAATATTCATTTAAATTAGTGAATTAAAGTTTTAAATAAAAATTTAATTAAAAATAATTAATAAATGATATAATAATTAATATATAGAGTGAGGAAGTAATCTACTCAGACTACAATGTCTGTTGAAATTTTGTCTTCTGTCACATTTTCCTGTTCAAAAAATATATTTAATATACCTTTGAACACTACGTCTAATACCTTAGTGCCAAGATCTGCTTTCTGCTTGTCTACTATAACTATAAAACAATATTAAAATGGGTGTCCAAAATTAAACCAAACTCAAACCTATTAGACACCGCTTAATTTAGCTCCAGCTGGTAAACGCGTCCTCTTTCTTCTCTTTACTGGGTGCTAATCTTTCTGAATAGCACCTCCTGTTTCAGTGAGAAGAAAACCCAGCTGTAATTGCTTGTGTCATAAAGTACCCTGAACCTAATCAGAGTTCCTCCGCAAAGCTATTAAGATAGCCCACTTTACCTCCGCAAACCTGCTTAACGCAGATTTATCCACGCGCGCACACACACACACACACACTCCACATGCCTGCTGCCACTTGAGCACAAAGAGGGCGTATGAATGACTTGGATTCAGGGAGCTTTGAGAGGACAAAAACATTTGACAAAGTTTCCATTAAAAGCTTAAACAAATTCACAAAAAACAGCAGTGAAAATGGATGGAGTGAGAAAGTAACGATAAATAACAGTTCGGATGTCCAAAAGCTGTTTTACGGCTGAAAGGATAAGAATAGCCTTTAGGACGTGTTTCCACGTGCAATTTCTTTTTAATGAAAATATGTATATTTCTAAATATATTTATCCATAATTATTAATAATAATTTTGGTCTAAACATTTTTTTTCATTTTTTCTCAAATTTAAGTAGGACTTAATAGTGGCACTTCCGTATATCCTGACGAGGTGGCCGAGTGGTTAAGGCGATGGACTGCTAATCCATTGTGCTCTGCACGCGTGGGTTCGAATCCCATCCTCGTCGACTCTTTTTCACTTTCAACTAGCAGATTGAATAATTAATTTTAATGTTTACGTTTTAAAATATGCACATACATGTGTTGTTTTTACACAGTGTGGCTACATTTGTAAATATTACAATAAAAATGCACCACATACCATATCCTGCTTGATTACTTTCAAAACTATAGATTTAAGAAATTTTCATTGACTTATTTGAAAGAGGAGTCCGTTCCATGCCACTGAAACGTCAGCGCATACAGCTGTGATACCATACACAGTAGTTATCACAGGGGTATACTCAATTATGCTAATGCACTTTGAGTTGTTAATTAAAATACAAGTCTTTGTGACAGTAATACTGTACAACCTGAACATATGATGTATCAGAAAGTAAGAGAACCTGCTCACGGATAGATGATATTAAGAGGCTCTATCCACAACCACTTAAAACAATGAAGAAAAAAATAATTGGTAATTGCATTCATCCTAAGTGTCTTGAAAAATCGTCAGCTTGTATTACCTGTGTAACAGGCATCTGATTGTCAGGAGGCAGACAGACCAGACAGAACAGCACCTTATGTACTGTGGACAAAGAAGCTGTTTTGACCACAGGAGGCCGAGAGATAAAATGGAAAGTACTAAAATAAAATTACTATTAGACACTCTGGCGAAACATTTATGATTGTCGTAATAGTGCTAAAATCTCTGTGCATCCACAGAGCGCTGGAACACGGACACGCGGTGACAGGCGTACCTGCTCTGTGGACGCGCACGACCGCCGTGACAGGCGTATCTGCTCCGTGGACGCCAGCCGCCGGCAGCCGCTGCCCGACATTTGAGATGAGCTGCGCTTAGGAGGGCCGCGCAGTACATCCTGAGGCACCGATGAGTAAGTCAGACAGCGGTTTGGCTTTGTGACCGCTTGTTAGGAGCGATAAAGTGAGAACAGTGCCTAACAATGGTGCGCGTCCCGGGGGACTGTTTCCATTCTCACTTAACTAATAATAATTTGTATGAACAGTTTCAGTCTGGTTTTCGACCCCTCCATAGCACTGAAACAGCCCTCATAAAAATAACCAATGACCTTCTTATGGCAGCTGACTCTGGTTTTCTTACCATTCTTATTCTTCTGGATCTGAGTGCAGCCTTTGATACTATCTCTCACTCTGTTCTTCTTAGTAGGTTAACCTCCATTGGTCTCTCTGGTACACCATTACACTGGTTTAAATCGTATTTGTCTGACCGCACTCAGTTTATCCAGCTTAAATCATTC